TGTTGAGCGTCAGGTTTGAATGCTTCCCGTCACTAATATTCTCTATTCAGGTTGTAGCTGTAGTACGACATCTTTCCCAGTTTGTGTCCACGCATAGCATCTTTAAAGGCAGGCAGTATGTCTGTGCACCTCAGGAGTGTGTTTTCCAGGTCAGGAAACGGTGAGGAACAGCTCCTTATTAAAGCCTGCTGACACATTGATCCTCAAACAGCCTCAGGAGGCCAATCTCCAGCTCAGCCACTTTAGATGCTTTCACAGGAAATCAGCTCAAAAGCATCTCTTTTCCTCCCCTCCCCTTTTGTGTTAGCCCACCGCTCCCCTCCCCTGTGTCACCTCTCTAAAGTCTAAATGAGGAATACATTTGAACTCCTGATCGATGTGCCCACTGGGAGGCCCTGTTGTTCATGTGCAGTGTTATGTCATAGGCTCCTGCCCTGCCATCAAAGAGACCTGCATGTCTGCACAGAGGACAAAACAGAAACGGTCTCTGAAGGACTGAAAACGGTGACCTTTAGGTGAAATAAGAGGACTTAAGAGTTGATGGATGAGTGAAGGGATTTAAAGTAGAAGAAAAATAGAGGTGACGTGGGGAGAGACAGTGATGAGTCTCTGGATGACCAAGAGGTTGAAGTGTCTCCTGGCCCCTCGAGGCTCCTGTCGATTCCTCCTTCCGGCAGGAAGTGTGCGAGGATCAATAAGAAGCGAGGGTCTCTGGAGGTAGACAGAGAGAGACAGAGAGAACTCACCCAGCCCATGGTTTGTTTGTTTCATTAAGCAGCTCCTCACTATACGGCCTGGGTATTGAGAGTAATAATTGTAGATTCCTGCCATCACTATTTTACTCTCCTTACCTTTTTATAATTTTAAAAATGTGGCGATAACTCCATCACTTGTGTTTTCTTTTCTCTGTTAAAAGCTTTAAATCCAGTGAAATTGTTACAAAACACCTCAGTGATAATAAAACACATCAGTAGTCAATGGTTTCTATCATGATGTTCTACAGTTTAGCTATGATTATAAAAAAGGGGAGGGGGGGGGGCTGGTTTAGCATAGTTGGAGCAGGATCCATGTGAGACTACAGCTCTTGTAGTCTCACAGTGGTTGCAGGTTTGACTCCTGAGCCTGACTGTGCATTTCATCGCCCACTCTCTCGCTTCACACATTTCCTTTCCGTCAAGCTGTTCGATCAAATAAAGGCAGAAAAGCCACAACTGTAGTCCTCAAGAAACTACGAGTACACAATGAAGGTATTATTATGAGAAGAGAATCAAATTCACCTCCAGAAACGTTAAACTTTTGTTTAATTAAAATAAACGCCTTCAAGGAGCAGACAGAGCTTTAATGTTTTTTTCAATCAAAAAGACAAACAGTGTGCGAAATACTAAGCCCACACAATAAAATTAAAATGGAGCAAGAGTATCAATAAAAGTTCACCACTCAAACTGATATTAACACTAGTGTGTCAATAAAAGTATCCACAACAACATGTAAACTAGTAAGTGTGTGTAAGTAAAGGTCACCAAACCAAATACGTTTAAACAAAGGTCAATAGATCAGTCAGTCCAGAGAGACACTTTTCTCATGAAAAAAAAACAAAACAGCCTGCTGTTGTGTGATTGATGATATAATCAATATATTCCACATCCTCAGACTGTTTAATCATCTTTAACAGCAACGATAAGCAGCTTTTGGGTAGATTACATATCTCTTTCAATCTCACTGTACCTGTTTTCTTGAATAAAGTATTAAGATTCTGGTACGTCCTATCTTACCAGGAATTAGTAAAGACTTCTAGAGAGTAATGGTTTTTTGGAAATATTTAAAAGGTTTGTTATGAGACCGAAGATGTCATCTTGAAACGGTAGAAATCTTTGTTTTTTTTGTCACTGCATTTACCAGACATGGGGACCTCTGTTTGTTTTAATATCCTTACTATCAAAAGCTATTCAAATCCCTGAGACACATCCGTATAGCGGGGCATAAAACTGGCAGAAATTCAATCAGACGCTTCCTTTAATCATTTGTCTGCAGCTAATCATTACACAGATCAGTTGTAGCTGCTTAACAGCTGAAAAGAGTTTTCAAAACAAGATCACAGTGTGCTTGCTATGACTAAAAGCAGCCGTATAGAGTGGCCGCTTTAGGTGGAAACACTCAGATTAGAGGCGCTGACCTTCCAAAGCAGCTTGTCTTCTCCCACTACCACCTGTCTGTGGCCTGACCAGGTTATTATTTTAGTCCTGACCCCCACCATGAAGCCACAGCGTCAATCCACTCAGAGCGGATTAGTAGTGGAGGTGTGTTATGCTGGAGCCACTCAGTGAGTTGTAAACATCACAGAGCCACGTGAAGAGTGTCATTCTGCCAAACAGCATGTGTGAAATGGTGTCAGTCTGAGGAGGCACAACAGCAGTTTGAGAGTTGAACCCTGGTGAGCATTTTCAGTGACTTATATGGGTATTTTCTTTAGTGAGCTTCTGATTATAATAAAAATAATGACCTTCATTTACAGAATTCTTATAACCTATACAGCTCATATCAGTCAAAATGCAAAGAGAAGTCTAAAACATTTAGTTTGAAACACGATGTAGGCTATATGATGACATATATGATATATCAATATTATCATTACCATATATGCACTGCCAGCATAATATTTCAATCCTCCAGTGTTCAAAGATGAAGTTTCATGCCCAAGGTTCCCCGAGTTTCCTCTTGAGGCTGGCTCCGAAGGCACCAGAAACATGTTGATAATAAACATGATTGTTTTAAACATGATACAGAAAATAGTTTTTGTCTCAATATCTAATGTCTTGTTTTCTACACAGCGTCTGCGATATACATTTGAAGAGTTATTCATATATCTGCATATTTAGGGTTGCTGTTGATTTGACTACATGTCAGTTTGTATCAGGCTTAAGGCCTGCCTTAACTCCACCTCTTTGCATGATACTAGATTGATTAAAAGTTGTGTTGAGATTGCATTTCCAATATTAGGACAACCATCTTTTGGCTTCTTAATGAAACCAATGGGTGACGTCACTGAGACAGCGTCCATGTTTTAAACAGTCGATTGGTTTGGACCAGCTGCTGCCCACACTTCAATGTGTGCGGTCCTGTTATGAGTGGGGTCATACCACTGTGTGTGTGTGTGTGTGTGTGTGTGTGTGTGTGTGTGTGTGGGAGGGGGTCGGGGTTGGGGGCAAATGGTATCACGCTTTTCTATTTTGAAATCAACTGTGTATGTTAGGTTTTGTTACTAGGAAGACATTTTTACACATTTATTATTTATTTTTTTAATACAAACTCTTTATCTCTCTCTCCCACACACACACACACACACACACACACACACACACACACACACACACACACACACACACACACACACACACACACACACACACACACACACACACACACACACACACACACACACACACACACACACACACACACACACACACACACACACACACACACACGAGCTCATGTATTGTGTCAGTTATGGCAACAATAAAAGGGTGTGGTTCCTTTAAGGGCAGTCATCTTTGTGTGTGAACTGGATCAGTCAAACAGAAACAGATACACACACACACCCCCCGTGAAGAAACCTTGGTCAATTTAACCAGAAACACACAGAATCTCACACGTTTGTGTGTGCCTTCACAGTTAAAGCCTCCAGAGTCACATTAGAAGTGACCTTTTTTTTTTTTTTTTTTTAATTGAGGAAACCATGTTGTGTGAAAAAAAAAAAAATTCTGGTTCCTAAATTTTCTGGATGAGTACCTTCCTGGACAGTTCTCTTAAATGTAAACTTTTCAGGAACAGAGAATGAAAGCAAGTTTATCTGGATCACAACGTATTCTCAGTTCACTTTATCTGCTTACGCTTGAACTGAAGTGAAGAAATGACATAATTAATTAATTGTTAATTGTAAATGAAATCCAGGCATGAAAACATCAAACTACAGCTTATATTACACACACATTGCCTCATTTCTTATAGCTGTAGCAAGGCCTGGGGAAAGTCTTCTTTGGGCCCTCACACTCACTGACAGTACCACCATTCATTTTTTGCAGCATCAGCACACCAGAATCAACCAGTTGTTTGCCTGAATAACACTTACTGGTTTCACAACACTGAATCATCTCACACATTTTGCATTTCTAGTGAAAAGGAACAGAAACTTAATCAAATGACAATTCAGGGTATTAGCAGAACTGCTAATACCCTGAATTCTGCCTCTGCATCTCTTTTTGCTTATTTTAACACAATTTCATTCTATATATATTCTAATAAAAATGGTACTTATTTTTTCATTATTCCGTGTGCCTCTACAAGATGAAGCGAGCTTCTTCAGTTAAAAGTGGTAACTCATGCATCACAGAATATCATGGCTGGTGGTCTTCCCACTTAGCTCTGTTGGTATTCATTTTGGTGACCCCTGTGGGCAAAGCAGATCTTGTCTGATCTTGTCCTGTAAATTTAGGTAGTGCATGAAAAAATCTCATCCTGTCAATCGTACCACTTATTGTGAATTTCTTTGGAAAAAGTAAGAGAGGGCTGTTTCTTCATCATGCTGTGAATGCTCACTGACAGCCACCCAGTGGCAGTGGTAAGCACTTAAAAATACAATAAAGAAATCATGTTGATCGTCTCACCGCGAGTAATTTCAGTCTGTTTCTCGACCGGCTAAAATTTCCTCAAAGGGACTTTAAATTGCATTCAGAAAAGTATGAGGAAATAAGCTGCAAAAAAAAAACAAAGAAAAAAAACGACCCAACTGAAAATAAGTCACTGAACTGACATCGCAGGATCAAAAACCTCTAACAAGAATGGGTCATAATAATTTGAACCCCTGTGTTTGGGATCATTCATGGCCCCAAAACTGTAATTAGCCTAACAACTTTGAGCTTTATTCTGAAAGTAGTTCCCGGATGTTGCACTATGCCCTGACTCTTTCTGGCATGTCCCTGGCTGTGGAAACAGCGGAGAGAGAGAGAGTCAAAGGTACAGCAGCAGCAGCACAGTGCGTCGAGTGGAGAGATGGAGGCAGAGTTGTCCGGCTGTGAGTGAGTATAACCCGGAGAGGAGAGCACATCTGATGGTTATAGAGGGGGAAATCACCATGCTTGATCCTGAATAGCCTCCATACAGGATCCAGGATCGCCTCAGAGACACGAGCGTCATGATGAAACCGGTCCTGCATTGAGGTGAGAGTCGCTGCTGCCGCTCATTCTTTCTCTACTGCGTTTTGATTTCTTATTTAGCGCATTTAGATTATCCTGACGCGTTGGGTTAGACATTTTTGCAGAGCTTTTCAAACACTGCTGCTTGATGAAGATGAAGAGGAAAAACAACAACAACCCTTCAGGTGCTGATGAGGAGGTGCTGTTTTGGTGTAAGACCCCGATTCATCCAAACGAGGCTCCGTGATGGACCCTGCGTTAAAAAAAAAAAAAAAAAATCGGCTTTGATGGCAGAGAACACGCGCAATATGCAGATGATAAGGTCTCGTGCTCTAGATGTTGAGACTATGTGAATGAGGAGTCCATGACTTGAGGAGGGTCGCGGTGTAAAAATGGGCTTTTCCGATAATCCATTTAGTAGCCCCTGAGGGAGTGAAGTCTGGTCAGTCAGTGGGCGGCTCATGGGGGGGGGGGGGCTGGTGAGCTCTGATGTGATGTGATTTGATGTGATGTTCAGGCCCGCTCGAGATGATCCAGAATCCGTGTACCGGCCCGCGCGCAGCCTCCCATTCATCCCCTGTTCTCGAGTCCAGACTGTCAGCCATTCAGCAGGAGGCTGCTGCCGATCCTCCATTCATGAAGTCCAGCACGCAGGCTGCACAACCGTCCACTGTTGGCTTTAATTAGGCTCTGTGGGCCTGCAGTAGGCCTGTTTTAGGCCTCTTATTGACTTTGTCTCATGTATCTTTTGATAGGGTTCAGTCTGTTAATATGAAGCCTAACAAGACATTTGAACAGGATACAGGCCTGATGTTACACAGGTCCCAACATCACTGCATGCAGGCTATTCTGCCTCTCTGGCATTATGCCCTTCGGATTTTATGGTGCCTTATTAAAAAAAAAAACTTTATTATATTCACTTTCTACACAAGGCAAGATATATGGTTTTGGCTCAGTGTTTCTGCAGAATCACTTTGAGATACATTTGAAAAGGGTAGACTTAATACTTCACTTAAAGTTTTCTCTGGAGGGGGTGGAGAGAATAACAGAGAAACACGCAATCCAATACATAACAACGCAGCTTTTAATATGAGTGCTATATTCTGAAAATGCTCCTCTGGCTTTTTCTTAAGAAATAGTAGTGAACTGCTTGAGGGCAGAGTCAAAGTTAATATTTATTTTCAGAATCAGGTTTAAGTAGGTTCCAAGAAGCTGATTCTGTCAAATAGACGTGCATGCACAAGGTATTTTGTCTTGATGTGCACAGATGTAGAATAAAATAAAGCAGAAAGCGTATTTGTTTTTATAGGTTTTTCAGAGCTGGTCCCATGTTATGCTACATTACCATAGCCACATTATTCATCATGTGTTCAGGGTGAAGCGCTCCACAACAACATTACAAGGGGCTTATTATATAATATACGTTTCCAAATTCTATAAATACATTTCAAAACACTGTAGAATAGGGATGTTGTGCTGTTTTAATATTCCATTAGCATCCATAGGGTAATTTTATCAAACATTCTTTCACTGAAGTTTGAGCGATGCTACACAAATCAGGTTGACCACATATTTAGACACATCATCACATAGTGACATCAGCCCCTGTATGACAGCATGAAAACTAATACTGAACTCTTCAAAGTAGTGTTTACCGCTATCACATAGGTTTGTATGCAGTAATCAAAAGTTGCTATTCTGTTCAGAACGGCCAATCAGAACGAGAGTGACGACACATTTCCTCATTCAGTTTAATTCTTATTTTGAATTTATCAGAAAAGTATGCTAAACTGTTCTCTTTCAAATGTAATATTCAGCTCTTTTTCCATGTTTAATGTAAAAAATATAGACGTTTGTTGTTGTTTGTTACGTATTAGTGGACATCAGAAAGCAATAAAACAGACGTCATCTCAGGCTTTGATTACTTAGTTAAAATGATTTACAGATAAATCAAAAATCATATTTCATTACAATTCTACATATTTCAGTTCAAAGCACAGAAACATCTTAATAAAGGATCATAATATAATGACTTGACCAACAAAATCCTGCACTTAAACAGCACATCTTGAAGTAAAAAATAACAAAGTCAACCAACACAGAGTCATACATGTCATCATGTTCAATCTGTGCAGGTATCTTCAGAGTGATTTAACTCTGAATTAAACACTCCTCTGTTCCAGTAGTCCACATGCTGCATGCTCACACAGGTCAGTGTTTCTCCTCTAAGAAAGGCCGTCCTGTGGTCATCTGTGAAATTAGTTAGACCTTGTGGGTGAGAGACAGGAAATGGAAGTCAGTGGCAGAATGTGCGTCTCTCTTTCTCCCACGCGCTCTGTCCCTTTATCGCTGGCTGCCATATGGATGCCTGAGCTCACTCAATATTTACATTATTGCTGCGACGCCAGAGAAACCACAAGAGAGAACTAGAGAGAGCGAGAGAGAAGAGATAACTCAGAGAGGAAACGCTAATTAATGTGTTTGATTTCTGTGTGATAAGGCCATGCTACCTACGATATAAGAAAGAAAGAAAAGGCATGTCGGTGTTCATGACTTCTAGAGATAAACTGGCCCTTGCTTTTGGTCCTGTGTTGCGTCAGGGGCGGTTAAAAACTCTCCAGACAACATTTAGTGGCATCAGGGAGGGTGGAGGTTATCAGGGTTCAGGTCAAAAGGTCACTGACAAGCTGCTCTGAAGTGCACAGATCTGAAAGTAGGTAAAGAAACGGGTAAAACTTCTGACGCTGGCTTCTGCTTCAGTGTGTGATTGATCCCCCTCCAGCATCCAGACTTGCTATCAGCCATTCCCCCTCATTGGAGTTTATCTCATGTCTGTATCTCCTCGGCTTTTCCTTCACTTCCATCATCCTGGTATGCATAGTTTTCCTCTTTCTTTACTGCCCTCACACACACACACACACACCTGGATGTCTACTGCAATATCTTTTCTGTCCTTTCAAGTTTTACATGTGAGTCACTTGTTGTCGGTGTATCTTTTATCCGATCTTGGTTTTTCTGTCTGTCTTCCTTCAGAGCAACAAATCAAAACAGAAGATCAAAACATATTTTTTGCAGATATCTGCATCCGTGTGGCAAACTTTTTACCTCCACTAAGGAATACATGTTTTCAGGGCTGTATGTCAGCAGGATCATGGGAAAACAACTGGCACCTTTTCTATAACATTTAAAGAAAGGAGTGCCAAGCAAAGCAAGGCCAAGTCCCTTTTGGTATTTACTTCACCAGTCACTATTGTGTTCTTTTGACCGATGCAATTAAATAGAGATTACATATAAAATACAAGAGAAATGATTGCAATGAAAATCACATAATTCTTGGAACAGGAGGAGCTCTGCAGTGCCATCATTTTTAAATAACTTAAAATATCATTTGATAAAGAAATGGTTTATATACAACTGACTAATCAAAAGATATGCATGTTCCACGTCAATATTTTGATGTGCATGAACAACATGAGAAAATCCTTGAGAATTTGCTCGAAGCCAACTTGAATACAAAGCTGTGTTTTTGTTGTTCCTCTGTCCCTGGAAGAATGATAGGAAGACATATTTTAGGTCTAAATGTCCCCAATCAATATCCAGCTTCAGCAATATTTACATCTGGCATATGAACACATAGTGAGTGGGTTCACATAGTGGTAAAGATGATGTGTGGGAAAAAGCGCTGTATACATTTGTGTGCTGCTAGCTGTGTGCTGTGCTGGCTAATCTTAGAAAACATGGATGAGCCCAAACTCCCCGGGGTGGGAGCACAACATCACCAATCATCAACCAATCTGTGATGGTGTGCTGCTGTTGGCATGGCACTGCTAACAGCAGCGTGTGTGTTTAGATCTGTTAAAGTGCATACGCAGTGTTTATCTGTGCACAGAGGTATGTGTACACACAGCTTTAAAAACACAAATCCTTGCACACCCCTTCAGTTGGCTACAGTGTAACTTCCTCAGTAGCTCTATTACCCCCCACAACACCAAGGTATTAATCAGGCAGATGAAGCTGTTGGCTCGGCACAGTTCAGTCCTGTGAGGGCTCTACTAAAGCTGAAGTGTCTGGTACAATGTGTTTTGCAGGCTGCAGTTGATTGCTTCTCCCTGCGCACAGTAATGTTTCTTTCCTCTCCTTCCCGGTCAGTTTACTGTTACAGACTGAACTCCCGAGCATCTGACGGAGATATCAGCCCTGCTCCCCGGGGAATGAGAGAGCACGAGGAGGAGGAAGTGGGGGCACAGAAGTGGTAGATTTCTACCACATATGTAGGGGTGGAGATACAGGAAGGCCTGAAGGATGGAGGTGAACATTCTTACATTCTCCCCCCGCCCCCCTCCGACTCCTTTTCAGTCTCTTTTGTGCTTCAGAGCCATTGATGGATGAAAGAGAAAAAAAGAACGAGGAAAAAAGAGTGAGGGGAGTCGTTGGGATATGAGACTCGACGTGGTGCCTCTGCTCCCCCTCATCCTCCAGTGGGTCTCTTTTTTATGCTCGCCTTGTCTTCTCCACCTACACACTCACTGATTGTTTTAGCAGCTGGACTATAGAGCAAAAACATGCCCCTCTCCAGTGGGGGGAAAACTACTCAGATCCTTAAGTAAAAGTACTGATATACTTTGATTTAAGTAACATTCCTACATTCAGATGACTTAAAAGTATCTAAACTGTAAGAGTAAGTCCAAAGTCAGACATACTAGCTATCTGGTGAAACTATAGGGCAACATCAAGCAGTGAATGAGTTCCCCTAAAACATCAAGATAGATTGAAGAAATAGCTTGAAGAAAGAAAATATTGATCTCACGTTCATCAGGTGGTCGAGACACAACATCAAATGGAAGACATCGATGCATTATTGAACTTGTGTAAAAATGGATGCCGTGACTCCACCTCTTCTTGTTGTCGAGAACTGAAGCTAAAGTACATCCCTGTAAAGTACAATTGGTGCTGACACACCGTATTACGCTTGTGACAACATTAAGTAGCCTGCCCCTCCTGCTAACCCAAATGGTAAAGATCCCTAACACAGTGAACAGTATCACGGGCGTTGAAAACATATGAAGTGGACCCAAATGCAACAATTTCAACAAAAAAAAAAAAAAGCAAAACAAAAACTTACTTTGTTCAAACCAAAAAAGGGAAAACAAAAAGCCACGAGGGCTCACACAGGAACAACTAACATCCGACATATACACCGACAAACGACAATGAACTTACATAGAGGGGCAGAAACACAGAGACTAAACAGACATAAAGTAATCAGACACAGGTGAGGACAATCAGGGCAGTCAACATGGAGGGAAACACACAGAGGCAGGAATACGAGAAACACTGAGGACAACTACAAACTAAATCATGAAACACTGAAGATACACAGAACTCAAGAATGGAACAAAACACACTAGAACATAAAGAAACACTGAACACTGAAATACAAAACTAAATAAGACCAAATCATGACACACAGCTGACCACAGCTTTTGTCAACAGAGATGTCAATCATGGCATTAAACCTCTTTTTACAGCTTGATTGACAATAAATCAATCTATCAATCGATTGCCAGTCAGTTAGTTAAAAAGACTGACGGACAACCAGAAAGTTGAACAATGTGTCAGACTATCCTCACAAAAGCTATCAGAATGAAGCTTTTTTTTTTTCTATTATAGTATCTATTTGGGCTTCCAGTTATTCAAACAAGGCATATACACAATGATAATTTAAGATGGGACCAGTCTCTTTAATGAAACTGCTATGAAGAAAAAAATTAGACCACAACAAAAAACTGTGTCATGATAAGCGGTAAAAGATAAAAAATAAAAATAAAAATAAAAAAAAGATCCATCGATTTGATCTTTGAATAAAGGTGTTTCAAACTAACGGAAGCAGAATATAACTACATTATTTCTGGCTAAAATGAAGTGACTACTGTCATGAAGTAGCATCAAAAAGAAAGTACTCAACATGTCTTATAACTTTACTTCATTACACAACTGCAGTCAATGCAGTTGTGTTACTTTTCACCTCTGCACCTTCAGTCAATCATTTCTGCTTCGTAGTCTTCTTCACTCTGCTGAGCCTGAGAAAATCCCGTTCACTTCCTCCAGCATCTCATGGCTTGAGTTTCATGCTGACTTGGTGTGTTGTGTGTGTGTGTGTGTGTGTGTGTGTGTGTGTGTGTGTGTGTGTGTGTGTGTGTGGAACAGCATCCAGTCAGTTCAGTATCCTTGAGAGAGGCACATCCTCACTTGTGCGGAAGGGCAGGAGTTTTGAGAAATGCACCTCACTACGAGTTGTTGTGTTTCTGCTGAATGAGAGGAAAGTTGGCCCAGTGCTGGTTTTTAAATAGCTGAATGGATATCGACTTCCTCACAGCCAGTAACACACACACACACACACACACACAGACACACACACACTTTCACTCCACTCACGAGGGGTGCAAGTTACAGTGATTATTTTAACCTGTGATTAGTTGTTAAAGTTTTGTGGTAAACTTTGTTTGGCTTGAATGAACGGATGAGTGTTTGTTTGATTGTTCGGATGAATGAAGCGATGGATTCATAAATCAAGCGATGGATTCATGAATGAAAGTGATTTTATTTTAAGTGTCACACATTTAACAACTCTGAAAGCCTTTCTAATTAGTCTATTAAGGGTTTAAGTTTTAACAAAAGCCTAATTAAGTAGTGCTCTGTAGATCAGTGATACTCCATTATCAAGACAAATGGTGGTTTCCAAAGTTAGAGGTTCCAGAACGAAAAATTAAAACCTGAATGACATCTGTATTATAAAAGTTTTTACTTAACAGCCAAGACCCCAGATAAACATTTCTCAGTCCAAGATCAAAATAAAAATCTTCTAACACCAAGTGATTCTTCGTGGGAGACTTGCAAATGTTGCTTCCCTACCTTCTCTGAACAATATGTCCCATCACATGAGCTCAGATAGACAGTTTTCAGGGTTAAACGCAATCAAGTGGTTGTTACTTAAAGTTGTAAAATAAGTTAACATAACACAAGACAGGCAACCATAAAAACACACATAACACATCAATCAATCAATCAATCTTTATTTGTTTAGCGCCAATTCATAACAAATGTTATCTGGAGACACTTTACAAATAGCAGGTAAAAAGACCTTACTCATTGTTAAGTTACAAAGACCCAGTGTTACTCCATCATGAGCACAGCACTTAGCAACAGTTAGCAAAGTTACAGTAAAATACAGTAAAATACATACATTGCTATATGCACAATAACAATAAAAACGCCACAAACAGAATGAAAGACTAAAGCCTCAGATCATTCTAAAAGAGACTCAAAAAAGAGTAAAACACTGTAAATGAATTGATTAAATAGGGGTCAGGTTTAGCTGTTAGCTTGTTCAGCAGTCTGACTGATGTCGGAAGTAAAGGGGCCTGAGATGTAATTTATTAATCATCAATGAAGATGTAATAAAAAAAGCTCATATATTTATAAAGTATACATATACCTTTTGTCGTTGTCTTTTTTCTTTCTTCTGTATTATGATGAGTAAAATATAGCAGCTTCAATTGAATAAAAAAGAAACACTGCATGACCACAGTATTAGATCTTCAGATCCCTCTGGGACATCTATGCGGATAAGACAGAGATTTTCTCTACCTTTTTTTTTTTACTTACGATTATTCTCTAATCCCACCTTTTCCTTTATTTTAGAGTGTCTCTTTCCATCACAGCATTCCTCTGATTTCCTGACACCGGGTACAACATGTAACAGTTCCTCTCTCTTCACGACGAGCTAAGAGACTCTTCTGTACTTTCCCTCATCATCATATCCTGCCTCTGATCTGGCATATTGTTTGTTTCAGATCAGCCGGAGCAGGAAAGAAAGAGAAATGGGCTTGTAGTCGGACGTGTGTGTCAGACTTAATTCCAGTGGAGACGTTTTTTTGCACTAATCCTTTATGAAAACACAGCACACACTGATGTGTTTGGAAAGTGACAATAAGCAGGATACAAATTCCAGGAAAACTCTGCAGAGCCAATGTATGCATGATTTGGTTTAAGAGTGCGATTTCAGAAAGCAAACACTGGAGCACATACTGTGAATGAACTGCCAAGAGAGGTTCTGAGGAGAAGCTCTCACAGCTTGGGGGAGTGTGGGCTGTCCCCGTGCATATGTCACCCAGCCTGCCCACTCAGATGGGTCCCTTTAATCTGTGTGATTTACCCACAACAATCGTCAAACCAGCATGTGTTTGACTGTATGCACGGATGATGTATTAGTCACTGACGATCTGAGGCAAAGATGAAGGGCAGAGGAAGAGGAAGAGGAAGAGGGGCTTAAACTGGGGTTTGGATGCTGTTACTGACAGAGTTGTGGTAAGAGAGTAAGATGTTGGTTTCATCCATGATGTGATGTGGTCTGGCGCTGATCAGGCCAGAGAGGGAGTCACCAATGAGGTTTGAGCAATATAAACACACACAGACACATGTGGGAAGCGTAGGAATGATTGATGATTGTACGAGAGCAACTTAAAGGCCTTCATAATCTGCAGAGAAACCAGTGAGGAAGATAAATGGGACAAAAAGAGGATCCGCACGGTCACTCTGTGTTGAACACACGTTGTTGTTCACTCGCCCTGACAGGCACTTTCAGATCGTTCAGATAATCGGAGTTGTTGTCACAAGCCATCACTCGGTGGCCCCGGCTTCCTGCTTGAATTCTTTTCAATCTGTTGTCACATTGAATCTGTTGATTTTAAATGTCATGTCGGTCTGTGCATAATCTCACTCTTCAAACTGAATACATTTCCGTCACTGTGAAGCAGGAGGTTTTATCTTGTCAGCACCGAGGATGTAAAGTAACAGATTCGAACCAGGAGGGTCATGGCATCCAACATGGCAGGAAAATTTGGGGCAACGTCGGGTGTTTGGGTGTGGTTTAACAGACCGAGACGGTGTTTTAGTCTACACAGGTGGATGTCAGCCTCAATATGTTAAGTACTGACTGCTTTCAGATCAGAAAATGTATCAAGGGTTTGTTATTTTCTGAAATTTTGCAGGATTGACCTCCACTGAATTCCTAATTTTAATGATGTTAAGGTGTCAAAGTACGGTATTACTGTCTGGATTGTGAAAGATTTCCAATGTATCCATTTGAAAACATATTGGAATATCTGAATATCTCACATCAGCAAGATATTAATGTGATAATGACAGACCTATGCTTCTTCAGCGTTCTGCTTTTTTCACCTTTCTTTGATTTGTTTGCACCACAAAGTACCACAAACACATGCTGCTGTCTTTTGCTTTTGTCTCATTCAATGACTCACTGCTCCTCTTCCTCCTCCTCAGCCTCTCCTCGGCAGGTTGGCATGGCCCAGTGATGAACGGAGCGGCGGTGCCCGGTAGCCCGGAGCTCTCCTCCTCGTGCCCACTGCCTGACTGGCGAGAGTTCTGCGAGCTCCACGCCCGAGCCTCTGCTGTCGACTTTGCCGACAAGTTCCAGCGCTTCCTGTCGGAGAACCCCTGCTACGACTCGCCCGGTGCTGATGTGAGTTTCTCCCAGCACTTTGCCCAGCACTTCCTCGAGTGTTTCTCTTCAGCGCTGACCCAGGCCCGGGAGAACCAAGCCTCCTCGCCAGGAGAGGACGGATCTAGCTCAGCTCCAAAATACAGCATTGTTCCATTCTTGGGAATCCAGGGCTGCCCGCTGTCCTACGGCCACGACCTTTACCAGAGACGCAAGGACACCGGGGCTTCCAGTGAGTCCCTGGACAGTATGGACAGCGGTGGGGGAGGAATAGATGGGGGAGGCAGTGGCCCCACCAGAGGGCCCCAGCCAGCACACAAGGTAACTGCTCTTGGACAGTCCCGCAGCTCTGAGGACGTTTCAGTCAGCCACCCAAAGGCCCGCTTCAAGAAGGGTTTCTCCCTGAGGAACATGAGCCTGTGTGTGGTGGATGGAGTGAAGGAGATGTGGCACAGACGGGCTTCACCCGAACCTGACGGCCCCTCTGGAACCAGGAGGGCTAACGGGGGAGTAGGAGTAGGTGGGGGCGGAGGAGGGGGAGGAGGAGGTGAGGCCACAGGGGGAGAAAAGTGGTCCCAAAAGCTGCGGCTCCCCCGGGCTTCACAGGGCCACAAGGCGGAGATGTTAGAGATCCAGAGGGAGGGAGCGCTTAGGTACATGGTGGCTGACGACACAAACTGTATGGGAGCCGCACTGTGGCAAAAGTGTCGCCTGCTGCTGAGGAAGACCAAGAGGGAGGAGGGGGGCGAGAGGTTCCTGCTGGAGTTCTACGTACCCCCCAAGGTACACACACACACACACACACACACACACACACACAAACACTCACGCAAAGGACAATGCGAGACAGAAACTCAGATCTAGAGCTGGAGTGATTGAAGATTATTTTATGAACAAAAAGTAATTATTATATTTCAAATTATAAGGAATATGTTGCTTTGCTTTTCAGTGTTTTCTTTATTCCCAGTATCTTTGGACTTTGACTGTTTAAGAAGCCACAAAAATCAACTAGAAGACCTCATATCCACATATTACCTCTCTGGAAAAGGGAGAAGAGACTTCCATCCAATCAAACATTGTTTCTTCCAACCTATACTGCATGATCCTGATTTTCATCATCAGGACTTCCACTGATTATTTTCATTTTCACGTTTAGTCACACACATGTTAAATAATTGTTAAAAAAAGCTCATCACTTTTCCACGTGCCCAAAGGGACATCAATAACCTTCTAATTTTCTTGAAGCAACAGTCCAAAACCTAAAGACTTTTAATTTATTATCATAGGAAATCCTCACAATTAAGAAACTGAATCAGCAAATGTTTGACACTTTCGCTTGAAAAATATCAAGGCTGTCTTTATTATGCCTGCGAGAGGGCCATTTGTTTTGTAGTCAGCAGTAAAATACATACATACATGCAGCCCGCAATCAGCATACATCGTAAGAATGGACAATAAATAAATACAGTAGATAGGAAACAGATAAAAAAACAGAAAGCAACATGATTATCCATTTAAAAAGGTGATGGCAGCAGGGACACATGAGTCACTCATTCTCTTTGTCCTGCATGCTGGCAGGCTGAATCTGAGGCTTGACGGCAGCAACTTAAGTTCCTTGGACAAAGGATGACTTTGATCTGCCAAAAAGAGTGCATTAAGTGTTTAAAAAAGTCGGCGATTGGTTTCTCTTCCTTTAACTTATCTATTTATCAACTAAATATTGCAGCTCAATTTCTACCCTGCTGACAAAAAAGACACACAACTAAAACTAATAATGGACATATGTGACCATAACATCAGACATTGACATCCACAAGCCTGATTAGAATAAAGCTTGGATACAGGAAAAATTTGATTTTTGATTTTTTTATGTGGTCAAGGAGTTCACTGGATCATACGATCCATTTTCAAGGTACAGTGAGCAGGTTCATTTGTCCAGCTACTGTTAAAAAGCAGGAGTACAAGTCTCTAAGACACATGTAATTGAATTAGGTCTCCACATAAATAATTCATAGATATAGTCATTCATTGCAGCCCTCCATGAATCCCAGATAAGAAAACCCATCCCCTGTGACCCTGAGTGACACAGTGTGAAGTCAGATCATACACATCCGTATACACACTGCACATTAGTTTATATGGGACTTCCAGATCATTGCCCCTGACCTCAGAGAGGCCATGAGACTGTGCAGCTGAGTGTGTGTAAATCTGCCACTGCCCTTTGATCATGGCTGGTGGGATTGTGGGAATCGGGCTGCGAGGAGAGGAAGAGGGGTGAGGACAGGTGGAAGGCAGGCATGCAAGGGAGGTAGGGAGAACAGTGTGTGTGTGTGTGTGTGTGTGTGTGTGAGAGAGAGAGAGAGAGAGAGAGAGAGGGGGAGAGAGAGGAAGCTGTTACATTGATTTCTGAAAGCAGAAGCGGATCACAAAGATTCCCTTTCATGTGCAAGAAATAAATATTGATCGTTTCGTTGTCTCTGGCAAACTGTCTGCTGTGACAAAGTGGAAAAAGGAACTTAAATAGTTCTGTGAGTCACTCAAAAATCCCAGTCAGAGCTGCAAGAGCTCGACGGCATCTAAAATTAAATAATTGAGCTTCAGCAGTTTCAAGTTTTGTGTTCGTATTACGTCCACACATAAGAAACGTACAACCAGCCGCTGACAAGGCCGAGATTAAGAGGAACTTCAGAGCTGCTCTGATGTGACACATTAATTAAACACACTCATCTCGACGGACGCTCCAAGCCGCTTTTTTTTTTCTCTCCACTGCCTTCCTATTCAGATCTCACAAATCACAACAGTGCAGAGTCAACAGTGTCGGAAAGATAAACTGACTCATATAATCATGCTCCGGCCTGCTCCTGGCTGACTGGCTCTGGCTCCGTCCCTGTCAGAGAGGGCCATCAATCTGCAGGCTGCTCTGTGTGGCAGAGGCACACACTGCAGAGAGCAAACTGCCTGCATTATGACACAGCAGCAAGCCCAGAGTCGACACACTGTCTGATTCACACCACCAAGAACGAATAAAAGGGTAAAAGTGCGCAGATATAATGTGAACTCAGGAGTACTTTATCATCGCAAAAATCCAACACAATCTTTCTGTGCTCTCGGTTTGTTGATTTTGTTGGCTGACTTTTTTTGTTGGGTCAGTTAGGACAAAGAGTCAGTTAGGGCAAAGTGCAAAACAACAAACGTCATTTTGCCACTTTCCTCTTGAGGTATTTAGCCATGCACATACAGTAGCTTTGATTCATCACTTAGATTCCCACGTTGTTTGGAAATAGAATTTCAGATCAGATAAAACCAAAAGTTTTTCCCTCAACCGAAAGCTTTTTGTGTTTGTGATTGTCTGAGAAAGTGAGTGTATGATTTATGTTACCAGACATTGGGCTTTAAATTTAAGGTTGTTTAGATTAGATTGGAGGCCCTGAGCATATACGATATTGGATACATGTTATTGTCCCCCGGGGGAAATTTGTCTTGGGCAAAAGTGCACAGAAAGCACACAACTTTGTGAAACTTACATACAATAAAAACAAATGTAACAAAAGACTGGCCACCATTAAAACAAACACATCAAGTAACACATACAATACCAAAAACCTAAAGAGATTCTCTATGTGCTCAATTTCAAAACATAATGAATGTAAAATTAAGACAAAAGGCTAAACAAATCTAAAACAGAAACTAAAACGGGGTGAATTACTGTGCATGTTGTGCTACTGCTCACGCTGTTTGTATTCAGCGGTTGGCTATTATTGCCATGACCATTTGCCAAATATTTGAAAACATGGAATAATAAATACAAAAAAAAACTGTGGAGAGGATCTGGAGAGGAACTAGTTTAGAAACTCTGTCCTGAATGTGAGTGTGTGTATGAGTGTGCGCACTTCACGGCCCTCTGATAATCAGTTCTACATTTTGTGGCTCTCATCACTACCAGACCCGACCCTGCCCTAAATACACACTGACTTCCTGTCAGAGCTGTATGGTGGAGCACATGCAGCCATGTGCACTAACTAATAAACACAGGTCAACACTAACTACACATTTCAGCACACGACATGAACACAGGGACTGTGCTGCCTCAGGAGAGGGGCACAGGAAATGGTCAAATGGTTCAACTCAGGAAGTGGTTTCTGACATCTGATCCACAGAAAGGAATTGTGGGTGTGGATGGCAGCCAGCTGCACACGCAGATCAAGATGAGAACAGTGTTACGCCAGACAGATCAGCTGATAAGCCTCCGCCAGACCATCAGTCAGCCTCCATCTCGCTCTGCCTCTCCTACCACACAGGAGTAAACACACACACACTCATTGGATCTGTTAAGATTATCGTCTGGATCCAGCTCTCTGCAGAGAGCAAACTGAGGCCAGGATGTTTTCTGTGTTCACCCTCTTGTTAACTCCTCCTGCATGGTGAGGCAGTGAGCAGAAATGACCACAGGGAAATGCAGGAGGAAGTAACTGGCTGTATAAAAAACTGCCCCCCCCCCCCCCACTACATAATATTGGCATTATTTATTGGAGGTATTTCATCTTAGAGCAAAGACGGATGAGAGAGGTGTACAGCTCATTGCTGCCAAGATGACCAATAACTCAGGCTGCATGTTGCTGCACATTTCCTATTTGAAAGAGAGGTTGGGTGGGTTGTGAGAAGTGTGCAATTAACAGTAAATACAGAGAGGGAAGCCTGTAAAACTGATTAAAAGCTCTATTTTTATTCTTTTCCGTTGTAAAATGTTAAATGTGTACTCTCACAGGTGTTGCTGCAAACAAGATATAGTGAAGCATTTAATTAACTCTGGACTTTTCATTTGCATGTCTCGGTTCCTTGAGCAAAATATTTTTACTGAATGCATGCTTGTTTATTTTCTAACATTGTGCAACGCAAAGGCTCTGAACCTTTCATAACTGTGAGCCTTTACCCCCTAAAAATGTGGGATTCATCTTGTGGTCACAATATAACATGTAACATTCTATTTTCCTTACTGTAACTATATAAACACAGAAGAAAAGGTTTGAAAGGAATACCTTGTTTTGTCTCAATGATAGGCTTCTTAAGAGGCTTCTTTTAGAGCTGTGTGAGTGCAGTTTGATCATATTTGATTGACAGCATAAATGAAAATGCTACAAACTGTTATAACATTTTCATTTAAATGTTGGAAAATCCCACAAAAAGCAGCAGAAACAAAAACGCATAAGAAAAAAAAGCATGCAAACTCAGAATGCAATCAACATAGGTCCAACATAAGTCCTGTGAAATAATAACTATTGAAATTTAGAAGTTAGGATTATTTTTTAATCTTGAGGTTGAATCTTTGTGGTTTATGAGTGACTCAGAGGAAGCAGATTTTTCGTTCACAGGTATGTTCTGTTAAAAATATGCATTAAAGAATAAAAAAAAAACTACTGAAAGGTGTCAGAAAAGAAAAGAAAAGAAAAGATGTGTTTTTTATCCTCTGTTGGGGATCCACAGAAGACTGCAGTGAAATGCTGACCTTGTGATACAGCTTCCACTTTTGTGCAGTTACCACATTTATCATCTTTATTTAAAAATCAAGCTAAATGTGATCTTTCATTCTGTATCTGTCTGCATTTTTCACTTCAGTCATCAAAGCCCAAAGTCAGCATCCCTCTGACAGCCATCGTGGAGGTGAGGACCACCATGCCGCTGGAGATGCCTGACAAGGACAACACCTTCGTTCTCAAGGTAGAAACTGAACTATTGTACAAACTGCACACAACTGCACCTACCTCAGTTTGAGAATATACTCTATTGCTCGTTAACAACAGGATCATGGAAATGTTTACGCAGATTTTCCTTCTTCTGTAACCGTAGTTTGTTCGTTGAACAGAATTCAGTGTGTGATCGCTATGTGTGGCTGCTTTCACAGGTGGAAAATGGGGGAGAGTACATCCTGGAAACCATCGACTCTCTGCAGAAAAACTCCTGGGTTGCTGACATCCAGGACTGCATAGACCCAGGGTAAACCTCCAGATAAATATTTGCTGTTGGCTGAAGATGGAGAAGGACGGAAGGACAGAGAGAGGGGGGAAAAGGATTACGGGAAGGGGGAAGGAGGGTCATTAATCATTAAATTAAGGCAGTTTCTGACAGGTTGTTTTGGCACAAACATGTGTGCGTTGTACCTCTGACATTCCTCCTCAGTTTCCTGTGCTGCTGTGCAGCTCAGGACGTAAACACAAAGATTATTTGTGTCCCTGTTTGTGGCTGAGTTAGGGCTTAGTGACGTTTGTTTGCACATGTGTGTGTGTGTGTGTTTGTGTGTATGAATAAGTTCTTGTGGTTCTGCTGACCCGCCTGCTTGTGTACAGTGACAGCGGCGATGACATTGAGCTGGCGTCTTGTCCTCATGGTCAGGCCTCCAAAGACTGCTCCATGGTGGCCTCCTGCAGCTGTGAGCTTCTATCTGAGGGTGAGAAAGAGTCTCTTTGTATTAAAGGAAATGCTGCAACACAAAATGTAAATGATTAATAATACATTTAAAAAAAAAATGTTTTTAGGTATATATCGTGCTCCAGAGAGGTCCTGTCCTACACCTGCTGAACATTATAGCGCCCCCTCAGTCCGTTGCAGGGAACCCCCCTTCACCCAGCACCCATCCCACATGCCTTTGGAACGCTTCCTCCAGTCCCCTGAGGCCCAGAGCTCCAACTCCTCTTCAGGTAAAAGTACATTCCCTTTTCTCTGGAGAGATTCAATATCAAAGCAAATAAATCCAAAAATCACAGAAGAAAAGATCACAGGTAGAGAAAAAAAAAAATCATTTATTTGTTTTGTCTTTGATCAGGTGGCAGTGAAGGAGCAAAAGAGTCCAGTGGAGATGCCAGCCTGGCAGGTTACCCATGGTTCCATGGTACACTGTCCCGCGTGCGTGCGGCTCAGTTGGTGCTTGCAGGCGGTGCCAGGAGCCATGGGCTCTTTGTAATACGACAGAGTGAGACTCGGCCAGGGGAGTATGTCCTCACCTTCAACTTTCAGGGCAAAGCCAAGGTACGACCATCATAGACATGAGTCACACATTTTTATCATGTGATTTAGTCTAAAACTCTGTTAACTCAGCTTGAGGCTCAATGTGTATACGTAGATTTGGGGTACGACTATTTAAGGATTACAATTGTTTTGAATGCAATGATAGTGTTTTTGGTGTGTCTTAGAGAAAAATAATCCCAAAGCATTCTAAATGAGGAGGGACTGTGGAAGCTAGAACAACAAAAAGTGTTTTTATTTTACCTTAATAAAAGACTTTTAATCACATATCACAGACAAGCTCTCATGACATTTCAGCATTCAACCAATGCAGCTCCCAGCAAACCGAGTCGTTCAGTCCTCGGAAAAAATGTTTGTTTCCCATATGTAACATGATCCGTGTAAGCCTACATCACATCCTGCCAGCCGGCAGTGTTGAGGAAGTGTCAGCTGCTGCCTCTTCCTCTGGTGTCTTGGCTCTCTGTCACTCTGCTCCCACGTCCAGACGCTTCTTAGATCCCGTCCTGACCTCTGTCTCTGTGTGTCTCTTTCAGACAATTACTAAGTCGCATACTGCAATCCTCTTTCTTTCTCTTCTCACTCTTCGTTCCTCTAAGTAACAAACCTCTCTCCTCCATATTTCCTTTCCGTCTTCCAGCATTTGCGTTTGTCGGTGAATGAGAATGGACAGTGCCACGTCCACCACCTGTGGTTTCACACTGTGTCGGACATGCTGAGACACTTCCATGCCCACCCCATCCCCCTCGAATCAGGAGGCTCTGCTGACATCACGTTACGCTCCTACGTACAAGTGCAGCGGAGCTCCACGTCAGGTATGCAGCACACCGATGTAAACCACTCAAACACGGCCACACACAGTGTTAAAACCACTTATAGATTTGGATTTATCTGCCCAACTGACTGTAATGCACTTGTATCGGGCATTTGAATTGTTATAACAAATGGATTATATATTTATTATGTCTCTTTCTAATAAGATAATTTAGTTCTAGCACATCAGGCCTTTATTCATAGGAAGACATCTTAATAATTTCATAGTTGTAAAAGCCCAGGTGTAAATCATAACATTAAGCATGGCTTAATTCTATTAGCTGCTAAGTTGTAGAGCGCTTGTATTTGTCACACTGACATGTCAACATGCTGATTTATATTTTCAACAACTAAAAGCATTCAACTACTACTAGTTTAACAAATGGTAATGCTAGCTCTCTGCATTTTCCATAACTAATGCAAGCGGCTACCTCTGTGTTGAAAAACAAAACAATAGCAAGTGCAGTTCCTCTGGTGTCCACTTGAGGCTGGCTGCAAAAGGCCCGGAAGTCATATAAACATTTTAAAGACGAATTAAACATCCTTACATCCTAGTAAAAAAAAAAGAAATTGATCACAACAATTCATCTTTCTATTGGGATACATCTCCATGTCATATACAGTTCATGAGCTAATGATACTATTAGCTTGTAAATGGCTATACTAACGGCAGGTGTTCTTAAAAGAGACCTAGTGGGTTTCCAAATATGACTTTTTTGCTTGAACTATGGCTTGGTTCTCTTCATATTTTCACTTGTCATTGTCATTTGTTTTAATCAATGGAGAAGCTGTAAAATTATAACAATTTTTCAAACTCAGGGATACCGGGTTAGCTTTACAATGGCTATAGTCCTCAAAGTGGTGGCCCTGGGTTAGACTCACTCTTTTTTCCTTTCAATAAAGGCATTAAAAAAAAACACAAAATGAATCAATAAAACACAAATCAGATTCCTGATGTTTCAACCTGACTTTCAACCTCGAACCTATAAGCAAGGCGTTATTATAACACCATTTAAGCTTTCATCACCGAGCATGATGTCTGAGGAATATTCCCTCCATGTGAATGTTGGTCAATGACAATGAACTGATAGATATTCCCTAGGTCACCTTAATGATAACGAATGAAGGTTTTAAACATCCAGAAGGTTAGATGTGTTGATTATAAGTTGAGGTTTGTCTTCAAACTCACTCAACCTGTTCCTTCTCATCCTCCTCCTCCTGCTTTATGCTAACACCGCTCCTGCCCTCCTCTCTACTGGCATGGGATGAATGCCCTCCTGTACAGGAGAGTGAGGGGGTGATTATACCGCAGGAGTTTTGCATGCAGTCTGAGACTCCAGCCCCAACCCAACCCTGGTGGTCACAAAGGGGCCCTCTGTTTCCCCAAACGCTGAACCTACACACACTCATACACTCACTCACTCACAAACACACACTTACAGAGTGAGGGTTTGATTCAAGGAGTAAAAGGCTTCACTGATACTCTGGTCAAGCGTGTCTTTGGTACAGTGTTGTTGCTGTTATTGCCCACCAAGAAAAAGCAGAATAAAGGAGGCCCACACTGCCTGTGTTTACATGCTACTCTATGAAGGAGCCTTTTGCAGCTCGAGCAACATACGAGCACAGATTTATCTGTACTACTAATCCATAATTTATCATAATGACTTCTTTCTTCTCCCAATCAGCTACAGATGTGACCACGCCTCCAGTCCTCACCCCACCCAGGGATGCAGTAGGCTGCCGGACAGATCCAGCACAGCCAACCCTCCACCCTGCTGGGATCCCAGCGCCTGCAGGGCCCCCTCCTGATGCCCCGCTCTCATCCAGCACCTCCTCCTCACCCACCGCACCCCCCTCTCTCTCCCGCAGTGACCCGGGTCCTGGTGGAGGAGTGGTAGGAGGAGGGTTACAGAGCCGGAGCAACAGCTCTGAACGCTTGCTGGAGGCCTCTAGTGGTGCATCTGAGGACTACCACGATGCTGACGGGACTCGCAGGGCCCGAGCAGTGGAGAACCAGTACTCTTTCTATTAAAACAGCACAGGGCAGGGTTCAGTCATGCATTATTTTGGATTTGATGATGCAAAAAAGGTGGCGGGGATATTAGACTCTCTGCTGATGATGAAAATGTTCCAAATCACTGGATCACACGTTGTTTTGTTTGTCTGTTTGCTGTCGGAGGTGATTTCATGTGTCTCTGATTCAGGAGGGGAAGTGAAATCATGCTGATCATGCTGATAAGTCCCTCCGGCTCTGCAGCTTTAATCGCACTTGTCAAGAATGTAAGGGAACAAAGAAAAGAAATGTTGAGATGATGCAGCAGTGAAGATGAGCGTAGGAGGAGAAAGCAAAAGGAAGTCATCCAGTGGAGTCATATGGCTTTGATTCACTTCTTCCGACCACTTCCTGTACTCAGTTTCCCAAGGTTCCCTGGGAGCACAGCCTGTGTCACCACCCCGCTGAAGGGTTGAGAGCTCAAAAAGGCCCCTGAAGAAACAGTCCTTACTCCCAGAGCTCCCAAGAGCATCACAATTATGTTTGTAAAGCTGCTTTGAGTCTTGTCCCGGATATCCTCGCTGTCCCTGCAGGGTTTCCCTACAAAGTCCTGCCCCCGTTCGACTCTGCACTTACATCAGTTCAGTAATCATGGGGATGTTAGTGTTAGCTGGGAGATATTTTTTCTGTACAGCCTAAAGGGTCTTAGTGCCTGACAGTTACGATGAGGAGGATAATGTTGGCACCTCAAATAGTCATAAACGCCCAAACGAAAAAGCAGGTGATTCATGTTAGTTTGTGAACATGCATATCTCTTTGTTTTACCCTCACAGTTTTATTAACGGCGGTGGTCATATTTTGTGTTGAAAGTCAGCTGCATATAGAAGATGAACAGCACAAGTTCAGTTTGTATGAATATGGCAAGATGGCTCCCATTTTGCTCTCACGTTGGGTTATTTCTCTGAGTGTGTGACGGTGTAATAGAGTTCAAATATTTTTCGGTGAATGGCGTGCTAAAGTTGTGTTTCCACAACGGGGTTTTTGGAGTCCCTCCTTCTGGTGCTGGTTCTGTGTTCAAGCGTATCATATCAATAACGTGTAGATTAGATATGCTGTTAATATAGGAGTTCAATGCCTTTAAGATATTATCATACCAAATCCAGCATTTATTGGAGGGACTAGGGACTTGTTTTTTTTTTTTTTTTTTAGAAAGGTGTCAGTCTTTGATACTGTATTCAGGGCCTGATGTGGACAGCCATGGTACAGGCAGTAAAGCGTAGGATACTAGATGGCCATGCTTGAATAGAAAGATGTTACATTGCTGCTTTCCTTTGTGCTGAGAATTTAGCTTTGAGTAAACATTTGATGAGAAAACCTAAACACCACACAGCTAAAGTCAATGTTGTTGTAAGGCCAAGACCTCAAATCTGTTACAAATCTCTAACAGATTTTACATTTTAGGAAGGGCACACGCTCACTTCATCGCTAGGAGATCGTTGATTGTTAGCATACTGGTATCTTTACGTACCTTAAACATGGATAAATTAGCCCCTTCCAGAGATATCCCCAAGGGAATATCGAGGAGGCTGCGTGCAATCTTTCATGGAGTTTGTGCGGTAAACAAGACATACAAATGTAAACCAGTAAGTTAAGTAAGCTTGCACCTCAGAATTCTCCCGCTGAGGGATGAGAAATCCCACTACCATAAATTCTAGCTAACTAATAAACACATATATCCATTTTTTTTCAATCTGAAGAAGAAATACAGTCACAGTTTTTTGGAGGGTTTCATACCTGACTATTTTAAGGACACTAATGCTCAGGACCGGTTGCCAGTCAACCAGCGCAGACATCACAAAGTTTTCCACTTCCACTTGAGTCCGACCAAGAAATAATGTGACACATTTGTCCTCATAAAACCTCAATATATTGTTTTTACAATTCACTTTTCGTAAAAAGCAAGAATGAATACTATTTTATTGAGCCCTTTTGTTTCCTTTCTATGTGCTAAGCTAATTTAGCTGACTGCTTCACACTTAAAACACAAATCCTACAGTGGTATCAAACTCTTCTGTTCATCTTTTCTCAAATACGGAATAAGAGTATACCTCCCAAAAATGACAATATGAAGCATTTTAAAACACAATGGACAATAAGAACATAAAGGCAAACACACTTTGGCTACTTTATTTCACACATCATCAACACTCGTTCAGTTGGAATAAACATATCAATAGTTGACATCTCTCTTTTCAAGCATGGTAATCCAACTTCAAAGGAGAAATCTTAATTTTGGTCGAGGAGCGGACAAAGCAGTTCATGTGCCAACTTGAATTCTATTTTTGAAACATTTATTCCTCAGCCGCTGTAAATTACATTTTTCCTATCAAGTCTTGTTCGTGTTTAATTGATTATTTCTTCTAGATGAAACCTCCTCAGTGGAACCTGTTTTAAGAGCCCATCTCACACATATCACAGATTACTTATGTCTCCCTTTTATTTTCTTAACACTTCTTGAAGCTAGATTTTCTGTTGTCTGAGTTTTGAAGAGTCTGTGCAATTTTGTACAAAGTGATGTACTTGACATACTACTTTATATTTCTGTGAATAAAATGTGAGTAAACTTTGCACGCTTTCTGCAGTTATTTTAATGTGAATGTCATCGTCTTTGGATGCAGTCATGTATGATGACATGTCATGAACATGTGGTGAAGGAAGGCTCCAAGAAGTCTGGAGCTTCGGTGATAACAAAGTCTGATAGTGAACAGCTCTGTAGAGACTGTTGAATGAAGTTGAGACAAACTTAAGCGACAGAAATGCGACCCCTGAATTAAATGAGGTTTGCTTTTGTCTCAGTTATAATTTTAACAGCCTTTGCTCCATAATTAGTACCCAATGTGCGAATGCGGTCAGTCTTAATGCATTCAGTGTTAGTTCATAAATGACAGCGAGTGATCCAGAATTAAAGCTTCAATTGTTTCTCATGTGTTGAATTTGAATATGATCTCAGACTTGAACAGGTTTGATTTCATGCTGCGCAGCCCCTTTCTTTGCTGTTGTTGTTTAATGTCTATAACTACAGCCATCCTGAGGAGACATAAACATGAACACGGACATGATTTGATGTATCCAGATGCCCTCTAGTGGTTGGTTAGATTTTATACAATTCAGGAAGAAATTGTTTTATAACAGTATCCCTAAAATAAAATATATATATTTTTTAACATAAATGTACAGTACTTACACATATACACAAAGAAGGCCTGTTCATTTCCCAATAGCAAATTATCTACACATTTGACACACACAAGTAGTTTCCTTTATTTTTAAAGATCTGTTTTCTAGGAAAGGGAGAAAAATTGTGCGTTCTTCAGCGTGATACATTTCTACTTTTCAATCTTCGTCCTGGATTTGGATGAACAGAGTAAAATACGAGCTGCCGAAACAACTTGTTCGCTTAAGGCTTCAATTCTAACAGTCATTAAATGAATTAGGTGTTAACACAAAATCTTTATGGCATTTCATAATAGAATATTTGGAGGTTCAAAAACTACAAACAGTTTTGTTCCTGCACAGGTTTTATCTTGGCAAAGTCAGCACAAACTTCAACAAGACTATGATATGGTTGCTTACCATATAACCATAATAACAGGAAGAAGCCCACATGGTGTGTGCTTTCTTACTGCCATTACTAGATTATTTTATATGCTTCTTATGTTGCAGGAAAAACAAACCCTGATGATGCCAATGGCCTCACCTTGTATAGGGATTTTTTTTTTTTTTAAATGAATAACAAGCCATTCTGCAGCTTCAAACAAAATAGACACGTGCACAGGCGGTGTCTACGCCTGCAGCACGCTAAAAATAAGCATCTTCAACTGTCATAAACTGTGCAACACTTGCAAAACTATCTGAGGTAGGACCCCTTCCCTGTTCCCCCCCCACACCCACCCGTCCAACCACCCTGAGAGTTGTAACATGCAACCTCACAGGGGTCCAGTCACTGCTGCTTCTATTTCAGGGCTCGTGGAGATTAATAAAAATAAAGCCTGCCAAAGCCATCAACATGGCCACGGTCACCTCCATCATTTTCCCCTCCTTCCACTTTTGATGAGTCTTCTTGTTCTGCTCCTCCATGTACTGCTTCCTGGCTCTCATGTCTCTCTCCCTCTGCAGCTGCTCGCCGTAGTGAGCTTTGTAGAAGGCGTCAAAGTCGAACATGGTTTTCCCTCCCGCTTGGGAGAACCGCCTGGCTCTCTGCTGATGCTGCTGCGGGTTCCCTGTTGATCTGCTCGCGGTCTCTTTGGAGGATGGTCTCCCCGCACTCTGAATGTCTGACTGGCTCAGGATACCACGGTCGTACTTCCTCCTCAGGCTGATGCTGCCCAGCACGGTGTAAGCCTCGCTGATCTCAGAGAAGAGCTGTGTGGCCTCATCACTCCCTGGGTTCTTGTCAGGGTGGTAGATGAAGGACTGCTTGTAGTAAGCCGTCTTGATCTGGGACTGCGTGGCATTTGAAGACACCTTGAGGATGTCGTAGTACGCTGTCCTGCTTCTGAACAGCGGGGGAACCTTTTCCGAGCTGCTGTCACTCCTCCAGCTGTAGCTTCTGCAGGTGGTGGAAGCTTGCAATGTGTCCGGGTGAAGCTTCAGACGCTTCAGTCTCAGTCCACCACCACCACCACCTGACCTCTCTGAACCCTGCTCAGTAAGAATCAAAACAAGAGTGCAAAACGCTCGATGCTGCTGAGGGAACCTTGAGTTGTCAGGGTAGATGGACGCGGCTCTGCTGGTCCACGATGTCATCCTGGCTTGCAGCAGCTTCCCCTGCTGGAGAGGCTGTAGTCTTGAGAGGTACAAGGTTGTTATGTCAGAGTGTATGCTGCCTCTGTTAGGAACAAAATCGATGAAACGGGAAGACTCCAGCATAACAGATGAAGTACAACACAAATTCCAATGTTCTTGTTGACTTTCACCTGATCTCACCCTGGAAACTTTCTCCAGTTTGCACCGTGTTGCTCTTCTGTTTGACACTTCACGACGACCCTGGGTTGAGTCCTGCTTTTTCCGGCTGCCATTGAATGTGCCGCTAACGAGCAGAGGTGCGGGACTCTCGCCGATGACCGCCGGTCGACTTTGGCTTTTTCTCAGCGCGGTCAGTCGGTAAGCTCCGCTCCCGAGCCTCTGACCGACCTCTGCCATTTCACCGAAGGGAGAAGAAACAACAGGGAGAAGGGGTAAGGGTTGCCGGAAACCAACTACCGAATCCGGCGACGTAACACAACGAGTAACCAATAAGAATCAATGTTTACAGGAAGTCTAAATCATATCGCTAAAAACTGTTGTTTATGTATTTATTTTGTTAGATATTGGTATCCAAGAATATAATTGTAATATTTGGACATTTAAAAAAATGTTGTTTAAAAAAAGGGCCTGTTTTAGAAGTTGTTGTTCTAACATGAATTCAGTTTTTTTGTAAAATTGTAACAATTATGTGTTAATTAACGTACTTTTGAAAATAAAAAAATTATATATATATATATATATATATATTTTGTTTTTTTGTTTTTTTTTAAATCAGAGTGTAGATAACTTTAGAGTTAAAATGTAGGTTGTAATAATAGGTTGTAAAGGTTTTTATTTTTTATCCGTCTTTATTAACAAATTTAAAATATACAAAAAATGTTTATACAAACTCTTATGTATGTATAATTGTAAACATACTGTACCAACTGTATAGATATAAGGATTGTATAATATATAAATATAGTACATCAAATTGTACAAATAGATATGTATATATAGATATATGGATTGTATAAATATATAAATTATTTAAAAAAAATCATAGTATATCAAGTTGTATATATTTATGGAAAATCATTGGATTGTAAATATCAAATATAGTATCATAAATATAGTATAGCAAATTGTATATAGATATATTGTATATATAGAGAGATTATAAAGAACACAGGAATTTAATTTAATAAATATTAATTATTGAGCTGTGGAAAATTGGTAGGATTAAATAAGTTTTATACTTCTTCCTACTCCTTTTCAGGCATATCAATTGAATATATGTAATTTTCTTTTTCTTTTTCTTTTTTTTGTGAAATAATTTGAACATTGTTTTTTGTTTATTGTATTTTCATGCTTTTCATTTTGTTTTGTATTTTTGATATGTTTGATTTTATTTGATATGTCTGAAATAAATGTAATCACTCGATCAAATCTTACAGAGGATGAACATACAGCAGCAAAAACACACAGGAACAAGTTAATTCAAACATGAATGGTTGTAAAAGGTTGTAATCTACCGGTACAGTATTTTGCCCAGTAGATGGCGATGTCGGCGTTTGTCTTTTAAAAAACGAAGAAGTATTTCTTGGTCGCTTTCTTATGGCGTAATCCTTCCTCACGTGTAAAGTAAACTATCACAACATAGAGCTTTTTTAGTTGCTAATTTTTACAAATAATCTTAATTTTCAGATTTGGACACACAGAGAGAAAGCCATGGCCTCCAGCTGTCGTCGACCTGAACACACAGCTCCTCCTGAAGTGGTCAGTGACGAGGTTTAATGTAGTTTTGTTTAGATGCTAGGCTAAATGTAGTCCTGTTTCTGTAGCAGTGTGGGTCTTCACATTCTTTATTTAATGCTGATGAACGATGGCTGACTAATAAATATTTAATTCTAGAATAGCGGAATTAGCCTTCATGTCTGGTTTTATTTCTTCATCATGATTTAACATTTTGAAGTCTGTTTTGAGGTGATTCAGTAAAACTTCAGTAGAATCAGCTGACTGTGTTTTGTTTGACACGGATTCAGTGTGAATGTGAGTTTCTCTCTTTCCTGCAGTTCTATAATGAAGATGAGGCAAAGAAATACTCTCAGAAGTAAGTCTGCATGTTATCTTAACTATCACACTTCATACTGTGATGTACTGTAGCATGTGTGAATGTTACAAATATAACATGCAGTATTGTGTTATTATTGTGTCATTTGAACTATGATGGTCTTATTCTGACCATATTTCTTAAACCACTGACTGATTTGTCTTGATAAAATGTTTAATTGTTTGCACTCTTGAATGACATATAGATTGTGAAACCTGGATTAGTTTATTCCAGTGTTCAGGTTGACCTCCTAAAAGTTGTTGTTTCTTTCCACGCTCCAAATATATCCAATTAAAGTTGAAAGTCATAAAATAAGATCAGATAATCCTTTATTTATCCCACAATGGGGAAATTTACATTGTTACAGCAGCAAAGAGCAAAGACAAAAAGTGAACACAGTACAATTTAAATTAAAAAAAAGAAAAATTAAGAATGTACAAAAAATAGATCAGCTATTTGACAAAAGTGTAGTCTGTAATATTCAGTGTAACACAGACATGCACACAGCGCACATAAAGTGTAACATGTTATTGCACAAAGTGGATTGGTAAACATAATATAACATTAATATAACATTATTATTGCATGTCAGAGTGAATTGTCCGGTTGTGTGTGTGTTTTGTGATCTACTGGGAGCAGGCTTGGTTAAACAGTCTGACTGCAGCAGGAAGGAAGGACCTGCGGTATCTCTCCTTCTGACACCGCGGGTGGCGAAGCCTGCCGCTGAAGGAGCCGCCCAGAGCTGTTACAGTTCCATGCAGGGGTGGGAAACGTTCTCCATCAGGGATGATAGCATAGTGCAGAAACTTGACGTGTTCACGTTCAAAACCTGGAATCAAAGAGTTTTTACAGTTTGTCAAATCACACAAAACAATTGCTCTTTTATCGAAACAGTTCAAAGCCGCACTCGCATAAACTAAGCGTTGATTTAGCTTAGTTGGTCCAGGAGGCGCCCCATAAAGAGTGGCCACAGTCCTCATGGCACTGGTCACATGATCGACCCCCAATCCTGTCATATCCTTCACTGTCATTGATATAGCAACATGTAGCACACATCATTTCCTGTTTGTTTCTGCAGACTTAGTTTAGAGCAATAGTCAAAGAGAGATTGCATCAGTGATCTAGTAGTTGATGTCAAGGTGTCACTATTTATTTTAGAAAGTGACATATTAAACTGTAACGGAGACGTGTGCTGTGTTTTGTTGCTTCACAGCTCTCGGATGATTGAGATCCAGACTCAGATGTCAGAGAGAGCTGTAGAGCTCTTGAACCTGCCAGAGGGGAAGCCGTGCTTCCTGTTGGATGTGGGGTGAGTGAGCTGACTTCGTTTGATTCTCACTTAATTTGAACATATCCAGTTGTACTACCAAGATGAATCCAGTGTGTTGGAAGTGTTTAGCTGATTATTTGTCTCTCAGGTGTGGCTCTGGCCTCAGTGGAGACTTCCTGTCAGAAGAGGGACACTACTGGGTGGGAGTCGACATCAGCACTGCAATGCTCGGTTTGTTTTAAGCCGTTACATTTAGCTAGAAATGAAAAAAGTGACTTCACTGTATTCAAAAGATACTGACTATCAAAAACTTAAACATATGTTTCATGTGTTTTGAAATGTATTTGTATCATTATATAAAAAAAGTATTTGTGGATACATTGTGGGAAAAAAAATTGAATAAAAACGTCTTCTGTGTGACAGATGTTGCTCTGGACAGAGACGTAGAAGGAGACCTCTTAGTGGGGGATATGGGCCAGGGGATGCCTTTCCGACCTGGCACCTTTGATGGTTGCATCAGGTAAAGAACATTTCTTTTTTTTTTTTTAAAGAGTTCCCCTGCATTGATCTTGCATTGTAAGTATATTTCAATCTTGTCTTTATTTCCTGTCAGTATCTCTGCCCTGCAGTGGCTCTGTAACGCTGACAAGAGACACACAGTCCTCCAAAGAGACTCTACACCTTCTTTAGCACTCTTTACTCCTGCCTGGTAAAGTTTTCATACTTGAAATTTTTTTACTTCTCTGACAAAAATGTAAACACCAAGAGGCCAGACTACATATAAGACTTTATCTAATTCTTACCACTTTGTTTTTCCTTCAGTCACGAGGCTCAAGGGCAGTTTTTCAACTTTACCCAGAAAACTCAGAACAGGTGAAATAACATCATCATGATTGTTCATGTACTACTTTTTTTATTTTCTCTCTCACCTTTAGTCTTCTTCCCTCGCTTTAGCTCGAGTTGATCACGACGCAGGCCATGAGGGCAGGCTTCGGTGGAGGAATGGTGGTTGATTACCCAAACAGCAGCAAGGCTAAAAAGTCAGTACTTTTCAGAAACGGTGCTTTTATTTTGACATGTGCAGCTGCAACTGTCTGCAATTCATTCCGTCTTAATGGCTGGTGAAATTACCAGGAGTGTATTTGCAACACAAAACTAATTAGAACAAGATGACAATGACTTGTCTGTTTGTCCCATTAGCCTCGTGTGAAATTGTTACAGATTAAAATGGTTCGCCTGATTAGTTCTTCTACACACACACACACGTTTGTTTTTCCAGGTTCTTTCTCTGTCTGTTTGCTGGAGTCACAGGAGTTCTTCCCAAAGTAAGAAACAAAGGAGTAACTTGATATTTTGGATGTCTGTTTTTCATCTCGGCTACATTATAATCACTGTGATCATTATCTGTTTATTTCAGGGTTTGGGTGCGAGACATCAGACAGAGCTGTTCCTAACCAGGTCCAGTTTTCAAAACAAAGGTAAAGAGATCAGGCAGAACCTGAATGTGTGTAGGGTATTAAACAGTGTGAACGATCTGTTTACAAGCTTGGAAGTGTCACTTTGTTTAAGTCATTAGAGTGATTTATTTGTTTTATTCAGAACGATGCAACGTGATGAGATGCAGTCTGAGATGGAAGTTATTCAAAGCATTTTTTCTGACATGTTTTTGACATTATTATTTGCATGCTAAGCTTTTTTATAAATTTGCTAAATGTATTGGACTTTAAAATAAACAAGTTTATTTTCATGCTTATTGAATAACATATTCTTTGTTCATCTTTTAGCTTTTGTTTAAAGTACACTGCATATCGTTGGGATTTGAAAAAAAAAAGACATTTTAATGTTGGGATTTGTTAAAGCAACATGATCCATAATCAAATTCATTACTATTTGCAGCCGTTTGTAAAAGTGATTTCCTATTTTGCTGTGTCTATGAATGAAAAGAGCCAGTATACAACATAACCTTTATTACTTTTCAGTACATTAAGAAACAGGTCTCAGCCTTTAGTACTGCAGGTCCAGTCATACCTGCTTTGATGAGGGCAAGAGACCGAGATAAAAACACAAATAAAGGGCCATCGTTCTGCCTGACTTTAAAACTCTGTCAGGCAGCTTTTCCTCCCTTTGACATAGTGATGTTCATGTTGGTTGTTTCAATTATGACAAGCTACATTTTAAAACACCTCGCCTTTTCTCCGTGAAGATGCCGCTTCAAGAACATGAAGGGGAAATCAGTGAAGAAGGGAAAAGACTGGATCTTTGAGAAGAAGGAGAGGAGAAGAAGACAAGGAAAGTCAGTACCAAGAACTGGTTTTACCACCCTGTGTAGAAATATTTATGTTCTAAATAATGCACCTGAAGCTCTAACTGAAACGCCTTTTAATTATCTGTTTTTCAGTCCCACATGCTGATGAAATGTCTTCTCTCTGTTGTGTGTTTTATTCATCTGCAGGGAGGTTCGAGCTGACACAAAATACACTGGACGTCAGAGAAAACCTCATTTCTAGATGTGACTCATGCAGCGCTGCTTTCATAAGCGCTCGTCTGTGCCACTCCGCACTCAATCGCCGCTGGAGGTTCACAGTGTTTGGGCTCGGCTCATATTTCAACATTTTAATTCAAGTAAATGAGATGCAAGAGTAAAAAGCCATTATGCCCAATTATTTTGTAATTCAAACAAGTGTTGCGCAATTTTTCCACACAAATGTAACTTTCCACGTTGATGTGGCTGGAAGATACAAGGACCGTGATCTGTGCTGCTCACTGGGGACAGAATGGTATTGAAACCATTTTTATGAATGATCAAATTTCATGTCTTGTATCCCTGATCAGCGGTTTATTCTCAATTAAAAACAAGCACAATGCAATGTGTTATAAGTGAATGAAACGCCTCCATAGTTCTGTGAAAACTGAACTGAATCACCACCCCGTGTTACAAAATTTACCACAAAGTAGACGGAATATGAAAAACCACATCCACAGCACGTATTCGGGCTTTGTGTGTTTTCCTGAGCAAGCTGGCAGGTCATTAAGGCAATGACGATTTCAGAGGCAATATGGAGAAGAAGCGACCTCCATCATCAGGGGAAGCTGCACCTAAATATCTCGCTGTATGCCATATTCAAACACATGTAGGAAAAAAGACAAGTTGAGTATTGTTAAGATGATTAAAATGTATTTTCACAAGTATAAAAATAGATCTGTTAATGAAATAAAAATATCTCTATATTTTAGATATATTTATACAGATGTGACATTTTAAATCCTAATTAAATTCGAGGTCGACCATGCCGTACTACCGTGTGTGGCCAACAGAGGTCGCTGTCCGCTTTGGCACAATGGAGACCACCTGGGCGTTATCTCTGAACCTGCTCAATCCATAACCAAATCAGACTCCATCTCACCAGTCGGTCAGACACTCAGTCTGAAGTGTTCATTTCTTGTCAGTCTGTTGGACTGACTTTGAGGCAACAGAAGGAAACTAAGAGTTTGGAAAAGGGGTCAATGAGTACAGCTGAAGGAAGAAGTTGGGGGTGTGTAATGGGTTAACTGCGGAAGGCCTCGCCTCACCTTTAGTGCGCGTCACCCGGCTCTGTAAAGTGGTCCCACCATCCCAGCAGCCCAACCAAAGGAGGGCAAATCACCGCCTCCTGCAGCCGCCAGACGCGCTTATCTCCTCGGTCTGTCTCTCATCCTCGTGCCGGTGTCCGCCTCTCCGCTCCATCCGCGCACATCCACGAGACAACGGGAAACTGAAGGGATAAGAGTGATTCACAGGCATTATGAAGGACCGAATGCAAGAACTTCGACATGTAAGTTAATGTTTGATTGGTTTTAAAAGGTCACCACGTCCTTTTTTTTTTTTTTTTTTTTTTTTTTATGCTTTGTAACGTCTTGTAGGTTTAAAGAAAGCGCACATCCACAGAGCTGTGCGCGCGTATGGAGCAACAGTTGTGACTCTCGGGGCTCTGATGGAGGCTGAAATGTTGTGTTCCACGAAAGGTAACAGGCGCAAACTGTTACCATACTTCACCGTGTGTAAAAGCAGCATTAAAGCCGGCTGAAAAATAACTTTCAAATGTCACATTTAAAGTAAAAAAAAATAATTGTCTCCTTCTATCCAAACGGAAAATCACTTTGATGGACTCATATTCTTTAAATTACAATGAATTTGAGAGAGATCTGAAGAGATTACAGGACGTCAGGGCAGTTTGTATGAGGAAAAAAACGTTTTATATTCAGAATATTCCTTCAGCGTTTTCTAAGTGAGACTAAATTTGTATTGATTAACAGTGGGTGAGATTACAAACCTTACCTTGTGAAAATGTGTGTGTGTGTGTGTGTGTGTGTGTGTGTGTGTGGATGACCATGGGTGTGAGATTGAAAAAGGAGATGTGTCCCATCACGCCCATTACACCTGTCCGCCCTTCTGCGCGTCACCGACGGTCTTATCTAAAAGCCTCTAACCGCCCACAGTCTTTTTTTTTTTTGTACTACATTTTAATATTTGCAATGCAGTTAAGGTGTCATGTGAGCCAGATTGGAGTTGATTATGCAATATATTTGATGTCAATCTCCACATCTCTTCCCTTAACCCTTCATTATCTTTAAAATAAAACCTTCAAATCTGTTGGGAGTTGGAACATAACCATACAAATATGCAGTCCATGGTGTTTTAATACCACTATTTGTAATTGTAAGTATTTCCTTAATGTATTTAGGAAGTATCCCAATGATGAGGCAAAAAAGATGATGCCTGGATAATTAGGTTGTGCCTTGTATTATCCTCTGTAGGAATGCTGCTTTTCAGCTTGATATATGGGCTGCTTTTGGGTTTGTATGGACAGCTGTATTTATGTGTGCGTGTTTGTGCATGTGGGGTTAAAGTGGCCATTGTCAGATCTGGGTAATTGGCAGTTAAACTGAAGAGAGAGAGAGAGAGAGAGGGGAAGGGGGGGAACAATTTATGTCTCCTCAGTTTTCAGTGAAGATCTAGCTCTGAATTGGTCTCGAGGGAGACAACAGCTTTGCCGTGTGTGTGTGTGTGTGTGTGTGTGTGTGTGTGTGTGTGTGTGTGTGTGTGTGTGTGTGTGTGTGTGTGTGTGTGTGTGTGTGTGTGTGTGTGTGTGTGTGTGTGTGTGTGTGTGTGTGTGTGTGTGTGTGTGTGTGTGTGTGTGTGTGTGTGTGTGTGTGTGTGTGTGTGTGTGTGTGATGAGAGAGGCGTGTCTCAAGCCTGCCATGCTGCCTCCTCCTGTGCTGAGAGGAGGCAGTTGCACAGAGAGAGAGAGAGAAACGGAAATCAAACAAAACCAGCCGGAGTGAACCGTATGCAGGGTCGACAGAAATTGCCCGCCAGCTGCTGATTCTATTTCTTTTTATTATTTTTGGTATCTGTCGTGTCTGAAAGATATGGCCTCTGACAAACTAATTTCAGGCAATCCCAACCGAATAAAATTGAAGTAAATTGCAAGTCGCAGACTGTTATTTCCCATCAGCACCAGATTAACATGGTTTTTTATTCACAGCTTCAACTTAATTCAGCTTGTTGAATATCATGTAGATGTCTCTGTGGGTCTGAAGAGTGTTGAGAGGTTTAATGAGTCAATCGTTGTTCTTTTCAAATACTTTGCGTGCCCATATTGAGTTCCTGGGGCTAAGCCTTGTTTCCACCATGCGGTTCGGTTCACTTCAGTACGCTTTATTAGCGTTTCCACTGTCAGAAGTTGAGAATGGTACTAAAATAACCAATCTGTACCATCCTACTGTTGTGCTACCCTTCTGTTGGGGTGCCAAGCATACCGATCTGACCCTAAAGGCTGTAGCGTAGCACACTGCAGTCCATTGATTGGGTGATAGAATTGTAAGTTCCCATGCAACAGCGGTAATAAAGGTCAAACACAAAATGCACTTGCTTGAAAGTCCAGTGGATTTCAAGAGAGTGGCAGTTTTTTTTTGCGACTAATGTCAGCATGTAGCACTGTCCCATTGACGACCTCGTAGGTGCAGACCACTGCTTGACATCCTCCATTTCTGCCCTTTTGTTTACAGTATCCCATTCTTCTTCTTCTTCAATTGAATTTATTAGCAGGCTAGACTGTCAAGCTGCTAGGATGTTACTCTATTACGTTATCGAACACATCTTTGTTTTCAACGTGTTACGCCTCACCTAACAAGTAAGGGTACGATTGGCTGTGGAAATCAGGATCTACAGTACCAAACTGTACTGAACAAAACCGAACCGCTTGGTTGAAACTGGGCTTTATGGACCAGAGACCACCTCTTCAGACGTCTTGTCTGTCTGCCAATAAATCCAAAGATATTAAATTTACATTCGTATTAGACCTTTCAGAAACCAACTAGCTGCTGTTCTCTGATATGCTTGATAAATTATCTATACAGTAAAGGCTTGAATATGCAACATTTTACAGATAGATACAGCAGAAATCCAGTATGTCTTCTGAAAATAACTCTGAGTCATGACTGTCTATAATGAGTGTGACACCCGAGCCGTGTCTACAACATGTTTACATGGACAGGACGACCAGCTCACCCCCTTGCGTGTAAAAGTTGTTAAATTGAGGGACTAGAGGAACGAAGAATAACACACTGTACTTGCTGCTTTTTTGAATGTCATTTCAGCTCTGCAAGGGGTCTAAATATTTTGGTTTCAAGCTTCAGTTTGCTGTGTCTTATCTACATATTTCTGCTGTTTGTGTCAATTTGGCACACAAAAACTCGTATCCAGCTCCAAGATAAACTTGAAGTGAATCTTTTTCATAGAAAATGTATACACAGGCTTTTTTGATAGCATGCTGTTAATCACCTCGTCTGACACCTTCCAGCGAGGCATTAAAACAACTGTATAGAAATAATCCATCTGACGGCTTTGTTTGCTTTAGTAGCTCATAACCTGCCATCATTATGAATTTCAGTTTACTATAACCAGCAAAAATCCCATCACTAGAGCTTTAAAGTAAAGCAAAGAAGTAATCATATCACACGTTTCAATGTTCTGCAACTGCTAAAGGGCAGTTCACTTTATTTGATTGATAGCTGGTATTGGCAGTGAGAGCATCGCTGAGAAGTCATCTTGACCCCGACTGTTTATTGGACGAGCTCTCCACTTGCTGCTGTCATATACCCCCACTGAGTTTAGCATGAGTCTTTGCCTTTTCATTTTCAAGCTGCAAAACATTTGTTGGCTGTTCTGGAAATATTATTTGGCCTTTGAAGGAAATCAAATTAAAAACAATGAAAATAATGGAAACAAATCTGGAAACACAGAGATCCATCACTTTATTATGTTGGGGGGGGGGGGGTAAGAGCCCCTTGAACCTGGGAACTTTGTTGCCAGGGAACCAGCTCCAATAAGAGGCATCCAAGCTGAAGTGGTCTCTTGGGGTTTGCCATGCTATAAGCAGCTCGAAGACCTTTGAGAGATTGGGACAGAGAAACCTGGCCAAGAAAAGGAACATTAGAGGTCAATTATGGAGCTTGGCTCAAGAGGAGATGCTTTCAGGTTAGCTGTCAGGGTATCATTTGTTACCACGGGGGGGCCTGGAGTGCACGATGAAAGCTTTGGGCTCCCTGAGGTGGAGCTGAAGGTGGACGATGAGAGATGGATGGATGGAGTTTTTGAGTCATTCATCTTAGCATTGAAACATCAAATATTTTATTTGACTGAGGCTCATCTTATGTATTTGAGAAATGGGTCATTGCAGAATTATTCTTGTTGAGCAAGGTGACGTGATGATGTTCTGAGATGTCTGTGCTATCTAGACTGCAGTCAAATGTACAGCCCAAAAAAGCAAGTGGAAAATTGACATTTCATTTCTCATCGAAGAATACAAATCGAATGCCACGTCTTTCTCGATGTGGCTCTTAAATTCTGAGCAGGAATGCGTTGATAAGAACGTTTTTCTCTCCTTATATTCTGTTGCCTCAACTTAGTGACCCGCTGATATCAAACAGCTCTCTGATGCCAGTTTTAAAACCCTCTGTGTCGTAGGTCTTAAGATATGAGATAAAATCTGCGATAACAACGTAAAGACCTATTTTCAATAAGAAATGCTATAAACAAATATCAAACAGTTCATATTAGCTACAACTCACATTTTGTCATCAATCTGCTGTTCTTCATGTTTTACTCGACATCTGTGTTTGCAACGTGTCCCCACTGAATCAAAAATCCATAAGCATTTTTTCCCACTAATAGCAATGCAACAATTAATCTGAGTGTATCTTAATGTGACTGAATCAAAATGATGTGAAAACATGACCATTATAGCCTCTATCTAATAAGGTAAGATGTACGCATGAGTGAACAAAGCATTTACTCTGCAGAGCAAAAATAATGGCATGTATATCGCCTTAATGATGGAATTGCGATTTGTTGCATAGCCATACTGCTTTAAGTAATGAATGAATTTTACTGTTACTTAAATATTAAGGATTGAATGGAGGGCATGCCCTCATTGACTGCAAGATAACAGGGAACCCTCTGGCACTAAAAACGCAGTCTCCAGCCTTCTGCGACTTCATGATTAGAACTGTTATAGTAAAAGCAATGAATTTAAAATGACATTGACAATGGAGCCGTATTAATTATGAAGTTTCATTATTGCATATTTCAACATTTAGTTTTGTCAAGTTTCTTTAATTTTGGACTTTGGGATCTAAATGTATAAAATGCTTGCTTTGTGTTAATCTTTTACCAATTACCTCCATTTGGAAAGAATAACCTTTTACAAAATTTTGACCTGAGGGTTAATTTTCACATCCAATGAAAGCATTGGAGCATTGAAAAAGAGGA